CTCATCCAATTAATGTCAATATTGACAACACGGTTAGTGCGGTGGCTGCGCAACCGGTTGTCACGCAACGCGTGGCGGGTTCCATTCCCGCACGGAGCAACTCTTTATGTGGTTCACAGATTGTTGTTCTGGGTGTCATGGGTATATGAACTTGTGTGTTTATAAACGCACCCACGACACAGGAGAAAAGCATTGGGTGGGGCAAAGTTTTTTTTTTAATATGTCCTTAATCTTATATTTTTATTATCTTACTCGGTCATTGTTATCACACACTTTGTTTAGAATTAACAATAGCTAGTTCTTGCTGTTGCTTATTTAATTAGGAATGACTCTGTTTCATGATATGTTTTAATATCGTATGTTTAATCACATAATAAAGTCGCGGAGAACCCAACAGGTAACCGGGGCTCCGGCTCGACGTGCAAGAGAATGAATGGGGAGGTTTTTAGTCAGTAAGAGTCTGACACTCCCTTCCGCCTCACCCAGGCGGGAGCAGTCAATCGATGATTTTCCCCCCTTAATAAAAACATATAATATAACAGTGTAATTTGAGAGTATCACTTTGTTCCTATGTGTAATAGTCAGAACTTTCGTAACATTATAGTACGTCTTCCTTTTTAAAAGTAGTTGTAAAAAGCTACAAATATACCTAACAAATATCACCTTCCTTAGTCGAAAGCCATTTTCGGATTAATACCAATTACCAATTGAGGTATATGTATGTACATATAATCAACTTTATTTTTAATTCTTTTATAACGTAATAAAAATATGTCCACTACACCCATAATAAAATATAATCTCGGTACACCCGTCACCCACGCGCAGGGTAAATATGATCACCTAATTAAGATGGGACACCAACCAGAAGTTTTTGTTTGTGTTGGTGCTCGTTTCCATCCCATGTTTATGGCGAAACTTCTGGTCACCATAAACATAAAAATTTCGAAGACAAACACTGAGTCTGTTACACCGCCTGACGTTTGCTTTAACACTCCAAGTAATACACTGGGCGACATTATAAAAATATAGGGATGGGGTGTTGTTGTTGTCGATATATTGATATATTGGATGTGGTGTTTATGGTAACTATTCTACGTAACTGCACTTTGGTAACTTATCGTATTATAGAATTTATCTGAAGTGTGTACTGATAACTTCCGTAATATTAAATTAATACTATATATAATTTAATATTAAGGAAGTTATTATCAGTTCAAATCTATATATATAAAAGAAAGTCGTGTTAGTTACACCACTTATAACTCAAGAACGGCACAATAGATTTGGCTGAAAATTGGTAGGGAGGTAGCTTAGAGCTAGGAGACCGACATAAGATACTTTTTAACCAATTTTTTTTACTTTTTTCCGAAATTCACGAACGGGGACGGGAAAAAATGGGATGGTACGCGTACGAAGTCGCGGGCAGAAGCTAGTATTTTAATAAAACAAATGTTACTATACTTAATTTAATAATTTAACTGTCAAACACCGCGAGGACACCGCTGACCGCAACCTATTATTATTTAATTGTGTGTATAATGAGGGTTAAAAAACAATAGACACTAATAATCGCAATTGCTATTTCACTTTTGCAACTGATATAAAATATATTGCAATGCAATTTATTGTTATGAACACATTCGAGATACAATGTCAATTGTTTCATGAATAAATGAAATTGAAATTTGTAAAACGCATTGATAACATTCAAATGTCAACATGTATACGTATTGGTCACTAATTTGTTTCATAAAGTATATATAGAACTATCGATATCACCACATCACTTAAACCGAACGCGCAGCTGTTATATTCCCAAAGAATGCGTTACGAAACTTTACCAATATGGCGCCCGTATTGAAATTTTGCTTGCCAATGTATTTTTTTTCAATGCGTTCGTTTTATTACAAGGTTTCAGCTACACATATTACATACGTAATACATATGTATGAGTTTTGTCTTCTCGCTTTTGTTATATGAATATTTGCCACTAAATAATGCAATAAGCTACACAGAACGGTAGAGTTTTAGTGCAAATATGTACATAATTTGCAAGTTACATTGAGGTAACAGAAAAAATCTTGCAATGATTGAACTGGCAGGCTTTCTGTTTTTTTTATGTTAGATTAAACAATATGCGATTTTCACTCATTTAAAATTCCTGACAAATGATACTTTTGAAGAAAATGAGTTATAAGTATACGTATACGTATAATTTTTTAAGGAGGGAAAAATCCTTTACTGCCTCTCTCTCGCCCGAGTGAGTCGGGAGGGAGTGTCAGACTCTTACTGACTAAAAACCACCCCGTTCCTTCTCCTGCACTTAGAGCCGGAGCCCCGACAACCTGTAAAGTTCTCCACGGCTCCGACGTATACGTATATTTGCTTCTATTTGAACTACTATTTGATTTCTTAAAAAAAAAAAATGTTATAGCTTTTCACATTTTTCTAATCTTGTTTGTAAAATAAATAAGTGTTCGATACACTGCAATATTTTCTTTTTATCCTTCCATTACAAGCTGTGAACGTATGATGTTTTTCTAACATTTTTCTCACTAGAACTTCGTAGCAAATTGATTTTAATTCCAGTTGGAAAATACACCATTTTCTATGTTTACTTGCTTAGTGAAACAAGATTGGATGTTTTGCTACATTTTGTTATGTGATTAAAAACCTTTAGTAAAAAGTAAGATGTATTACTTGTTTTTGTTTTTGTTGAACATTTTTGATACCAAAAATATTTTGAAAAAGTTTTCTTTACTTGTAAAAAAGAACAAAGTTGACTTTTTGCTTGAAATGTAACCAGATGTATGAATATAATAGAAGTTTTGCACTTTTATAAGTAAAGAGTTTTTTTTAAGGGTGGAAAGTCATCGAATGACTGCTCCCGCCTGGGTGAGGCGGGAGAGAGTGTCAGACTCTTACTGAAAAAAAAAACTTACTAAAAACTTCTTACTAAAAAGCATCCCGTTCCTTCTCCTGCACGTCGAGCCGGAGCCCCGGTTACCCGTTAGGTTCTCCGCGACATATGTAAAGAGTTAAGTTACTAACAAGGCAATATCTAACTCATGTAAATGTTCAAAGAGGTGGCTCGACTAATTTCGAACCCCGACAGGGCGTCATAAACATGAGCAGCTTACATATGATAATAACAAACTACACATAAACCTCCAGTCCCAATCAACCATCACCCACCCTGACAAGGTCTTGATAAACAGTTTCCTGAACCAACACTATATTTACCAACAAATAGGTAAGGATCACAATCTTCAAACAACAAAAGGATCTAAGCCCAATTCCGGCCATGATTTGGCTGGTCCTCTTTTGTATGTACAGGGCTGCACATCAAGATATACACAACCAGTATAAATTGACCTTTGAGTGTACAAAATGATTCTACAAAGCCAGATCATGATAAACTAGCTTTGTATAAGTCGCTGTGTACATTGAGGTCCCAAATGTACGTTCTATCCTTTTTTCGTTTAGATGTCAATTTCCTCGCAATCTCTTTGGTCTTGTAATCGAAAGGGCAATATACGCAGGTGCGTCAACGAATAATCTAATTCTGCCTTCTTTTGAGCGCTCGTGTTTATTTTGGAGATAATAGTCGTGCCTTGATCGTAGATATGTTTTGAAATCATGGTATAAGATTAGAGGGCTCTATCTGAAAGAAGGGTCTGTTATAAAAATAAAAGTCTATTAAGAAAAGCCCATGAGGTATCGTCATGTGAAACCGCTTCCGAAATTGAACTACGTGCTTGTATTTTGTGGTTATTTTGTTTTATATCAACTTTGGATTACTGGGTTTTTAAAAAATCTCAGTAGTAGCACGGAGTCTGGAATTGTGCCCGGTATATGGCAATAGGCTCACCCCCTGTTACATGGGACTCGTAACATAAATAGTGAAAATTGTGTGTTGCATTGTATAGTGGCATAATGTACACCTCTGCCTACCCTATCGTGGATTAAAGGCGTGATGTTATGATGTTATATGCATTATTTAATGCGTTTGCAGCCACACCCAAAATCAAAGTGACGAATAGGTACTTTACATAATTTAAGTATACCACTGAACTACTTACCCAATTGATGCAAACAGGCGTAACTTTACATTCATAAAACGACACAAACCCTGACGGCTAGTAAGTGTTAATAATGAACTTTATACATAACCGCAAAGAGGTTATATTTAACCCATGAAACGGGTCAGTGATCAAGAATAAATTTAATTATTTTACAGTCGAGAATCCAGAGTTAAAATGAGGTACAGATATTGACTTTACTAAGAGTTTTTAATTACTACGATTAATTAATTTAAAATCGGTTCAGTGATTTCTGTAATACAATTATTCGCGGTCCGACTTATTTTAATTTAAACCTTCCCTGTGAGACAGTTGAGGAAATTAGAATATCTTTTCGTGTGACACTAAATGTTACTGACTGGCTTTATACGGAATTTTTAAGTAATTTTATGAGAATAAATTCTTTTTAAGGGTGTTGTACGTGCGTAAGATATCTGTCTTTGTTAAGTTTTAAAAATAATTAATTTTTGATTTGATAAAGATACTTAGTTTAAAGCCTTCTTTTACCACCCTTTCCTGTACTTTAAGAAACCCCTAAGCTAAGGCAGGTGACGTTTAACGTCATTTTGATTTTCACCAACCAAAAATGTACAGATAAGAAGTTAATTTAGGTGCTATCTCACGTTAAAGAACATATAGGTAATTAAGAGATAGTTAAGAAGTTCACTTCTTAACTAGACTTTAGAACAGTTATTAGTCTCAAAATGACATAACATATCATCACGCCTTTTTATACCCGAAAGGGTAGGCAGAGGTGCACATTACGGCACTTAATGCCATTGTACAATGTAACACCCACTTTCCATAAAAATATGTGAATCAATAATTATCCCGTGTGTCCACCTGCAAGTTTTGATAAAAGATCTTCATACATAATTTATACACATCTAAAACAATCCATTACTTTGTCCACAGGATAACCCTGACAATCAATTCAAGTCTATCCCTCTGGGGCTATGGTGGGCCATCGTGACGATGACCACCGTCGGCTATGGAGACATGGCCCCCAAGACGTACCTGGGTATGTTCGTGGGGGCTCTGTGCGCGTTGGCTGGTGTGCTGACCATCGCCCTACCTGTGCCTGTCATTGTGTCCAACTTCTCAATGTTCTATTCACATACTCAGGTAAGTGCACTTTGTATTATGTATTTTCAGGTGTACAGCAAACAATTAAACCTTTTTCTCAAGAAGAATACAATAAAAGTGTTTTGCTATGGGAAAGCGTTTTTAAAAAATACAATTTAGTACACATTTATTTCAAAACTTTGAACTTGACATGATACTATTCATGTCTTCTTAATATATTCAGCGTCAGCGTCTCTTTTCTAATTCTTCTGTTTTAATTTTTCAACTCTTATATTTTTATTACTTCTACTGTTACACCTTTATTGTCTTTTTTATATTTTATTTATGCTGCATCGTGCCTGGTGCTGAATAAATGTTTTTTCTTTCTTTCTATATTGATACAAATAAATTAACTACATATGTATATTACTAAAAACATTTTTATGTCACATCAGATGGATTTGGATACTTTCCGCATAGATTTAGGTGATTTCTGTTGCGACACATAGTTCGCCATAAAAACTGTGATATCAATGCAAATAATGCGTTAGAACCTTACGTATATAAAAAGTTGCCACTTCGAATAGTACCACACATGAGCCCATGGTCCCTGTTCAAGGACGGCATTTTTTTAATACTTATGTACAACGGGATAGTAGCTTGGCGCTAAAATCCTACTGTACAGGACTACCTAATCCTAATGACTACTAGCTAACGTTATCCAACACTATCCTAGATAATCTAGCCCTTATAATATCCTATCCTATATTTGCCGTCGCGGAGAACCTAACGGGTAACCGGGGCTCCGGCTCGACGTGCAGGAGAAGGAATGGGGTGGTTTTTAGTCAGTAAGAGTCTGACACTCCCTTCCGCCTCACCCAGGCGGGAGCAGCCATTCGATGATTTTACCCCCTTAAAAAAAAATCCTATATTTGCCTAGCGTATAATGCGTATAGGCTTGGTAAATATGTTTTTTTTTGTTTGCTGATATTAGTGTGTGGGCGTCATATCATTGAGTTACATACATAACATCACGCCTTTTATCCTCGAAGGGGTAGGCAGAGGTGCACATTATACCACTGTACAATGTTACACCCACTTTTCACTATTTATGTTATGAGTCCCATGTAATAGGGGGTGAGCCTATTGCCATATACTGGGCACAGTTCCAGACTCTGTGCTACTACTGAGAATTTTTTAAAAACCCAGTAATACTTTGCCCGACCCAGGAATCGAACCCGAGACCCCTTACCCGGCAGTCGCAATTGCGACCACTCGGCCAACGAGGCAGTCATCATATCATTGAGTTAATTAAAATAAAAAAGGTTTTCAAAAAATGTATTGTTTGTATTTAGTTCCAAATGGGTTCAAATATATTTTTCATACTCAATATCATTGTCATTGGGGTAAGATTGTTAAAATAATTACTAAACACGGTAAATATAATACACAGTTACCCTATAAGACATGCTAAGGTAACTATTACGTCTTACGACCGGTCAATACAATAGGTCTGTATCAGATATTTGATCGATTGTGACGTCACTATACACAATACACATCACACATCAGATTGTAAACTGAAGCCAATTAATTAAGAGCTGCAATTGATGTACACTAAGAGGTTTAATTAAAGATAATACTATCTCTAATAATAATATTATAATACATGCAAGATCGGTATCCACAAAAAGTGACCTTAACAACTTATGTCGTAATTTTGCCTCAGAAAAAGAATTGAATACTAAAGCAGCTGAATAGTTTTGAGCCTAAGATATTAAAAAGATGACTCAGGCATAACGACGATTGATATAAATCAAAATGATGCTAATGACATGAATCTTGACATAATATTGATAACTATTTCTATACGTAGCTGTTCTTAGTAATATTATGGGCGAATTATTATTAAAACTTAAAGACTTCAAATTTTTTTAATAACTAATACATTTTTAGCACATACAATTTCCTCGAAGCATATTATAAAAAAAAATATAATCGTTTTTTTATGACATAAGCAGGTAAACGAGCAGACAGATCACCTGATGGTAAGCAATCGGCGTCGCCCATGGACACCTGGAACACCAGAGACGTTACAAGTGCGGATTTTGGGAATTAGGAGTTTGAGGATCGTTGGGGATTCAGGAATTGGGGAGATCGGGGAAGGGGAGGGTAAATGGGCCTCCGGTAACCTCACTCACACGACGAAACACAATGCAACCGTTGTATTACTCCGGTCGAGCCGGCCCATTCGTGCCGAAGCATGCTCCCACGCTTAAAATCGTTTACGAGTGCTTCTCTTGTTATTTGAATTCTTCGTGGAATGATTAATAATAACTTTTAAAAGGCCGGCTACGCACCTGTGACTCCTCTGGTGTTGTGGGTATCCATAGGCGGCACTGATCGCTTACCATCAGGTGATCCGTCTGCTCATTTGCCTCCTATTCCATAAAAAAATCCTTCGTGTCATTCACAAATTGTTTGTCTATGATAGAGTGTGTCTTGTGTATAGTATAAAAGACTCTATAAATGCACCTATGATATAGAACAATGGCCTACCACAACGTTACACTAAAAATGTCATAGATCAGTATTTTTTATTTAAGTATAAAATCTTATCTTATACTATTATACATATAAAGCGAAAAAGTTTGTTTTTTGTTTGTTTGTTTGAACGCGCTAATCTCCGTAACTACAAATCTGATTTGAATAATTCTTTTTGTGTTGCTTAGCGCATTTATCGAGAATGGCTATAAGCTATAAAACATCACGCTACGACCAATAGGAGCTGAGCAGAGCGTATGAAACTGCGCGGAAGTAGCTAGTATAAAATATTTATTATAATAATGCTTGCTTAATAAGACAGTTCGATGATTAAATATTCGTTTGTGTATAAATTGTATTCTGAACAAAAAATATCAACATCACGGAAGAAGCAAAGATTTGGGCCTTAATTAAACTTCCCTAAGACTTCCAAAGTCGAATTTTGTTTACAATATTGTATCTTGTTATTAGAACCTTCGGAGGAAGCCGAATTCAGAAGTTCCTATCGAAATTCGATCTTATGATTTCGATAACTGAGTTTACTTGATATTGAAAATCATTTTAGGTTTTTTTCCAAGAAGATGGAAAATGTTTAAACAAATTTCCTAAAATTGATAATTATTAAATAAAAAAAAGTAATTTAATATGTACAAAATAATTGTATTTGAAAGAGCTGTAGATGTTTATGTGTGTTTTATGGATTCAGTTTTTTTATATCAATATTAATTGCATATGGTTGGTATAGAACGAAGTGCGTGAGGTTGCCATCTGGCGCATAATATGTAAAACTTTTCTAATAGATTGATGTCCACACAATACTTGTACCGGCTTCACCGTTGATTCTTATTTTGATTAATTAAATATAGTAATATTCGTGCAATACGGCCTTTTTATTTATAACTCTTCACAAATTAATTTATTAATTACAAACATATCACTACAATATCATAAATCTGAACTAAATTATAAATAACTAGGGCAGAGATAAATAAAAACTTAAGTATTTACAACTCAAAATTTACGTAAAAATATAAAAAATAGAATAGGAATTAAAAACAAGAAACGACATGAAAAACAGTATGTTTCAGATTCAGTAGATATGAAATTTAAAGTTCGGCTTTCGATGCCATTAAAGGATTTTTTTTTAATTATTTCACCAGTCTCCTATATCACCATGACCATGAGTAACATGGAATATATGAGTGAAGCTTTAATATCGTTCTGAGAATAAACGTAGCGTAAGCAGGACTGCCGGTCCACTGCACACCCCATCCCTAACCCAAGGTTATTTTTGTATGGAAACATCGCAAAATTTATATTTTCAAATATTTATTCTGTACCAAAAATATCCTTGACAACATGTTCACAAATATGTGCCTAAAATTGTTACGTAAAAAAGGATAGGTACCTATTTTTTTATTATAAATTGTTACTACAAATTTTTTCGCATGAAATTATTGTTTACCCTGAAAACCAAATTTTAAATACATAGCAGTTTACATAATGATCAGAAAAAATGGATACGAAACGCAAATATTTTAACATTTTAAGTCTATTTATTCACACTCTTTCAACAGCAAAATAAAGAAAAATATTTCTAAAAATTAACATAAGAACAAATAACTGAAAATATATTGAGTCAGACACCTGGTTTTTATGAACATTATTTTAACATAAATCGTCCAAATAGGCCTCGACTCAGGCTAGTAAACGAGTCCCAAAATATTTCAGGCCGGCCCAGACTTTCAAACAGTCGAGTTCAAACTGTGTCACTAAATAATTCATTGCAGGTAATTTTACAATTATAAAGAGATTGGAAATGTCTTATTTGGTATATTTATCTAAGATGTAGATTAAGGCTCGAATACCGAAAGGGTATTTACTCAATTTTAAATATAGTACCATCTCTTTCATATTACAAAGAATCCATAGTGATAGAACTATAGAGGTACTTAAGCGCGACTTAAAATACTCAATTTTAAGTCGCGCTTAAGTAGCGTTTCAGTATATGGACAATAGTAACGTGGTTAAACTAAGAACATAACGTAACATCACGCTTTTTATCCCCGAAGGGGTAGGCCAAAATGCACATTATGCCACTGTACAATGTAACACCCACTTTTCACTATTTATGTTATGAATGAGATAGATGGTGAGACCATTGCCATGTGATTGAGGGTGAGACCATTGCCATAAACCGTGCACAATCCCAGACTCCGTGCTACTACTGAGAATTTTTTTAAGCCTTTGACTGCCGACAGAAAATTGTTGAGGATAAATCCTCCGCTATCGTGGCCCATACCTTATCCCCCATAGCGTTCAAGGTGTTAAAACCCAGTAATACTTAGCCCGACCCGGGAATCGAACCTGAGACTCCTTGTCCGGCAGTTGCACTTGCGACTACTAGGCCAACAAGGCAGTTAAACTAAGAATACTATAGTAAAACACGTATACACAAAGACATACAAATAATTATAAACTATGTACATACCTTTTGTCTATTTATAACTAATATCTTGATCTCTAGGTCGACCAACAAATTATAAAGTTACCCTGATTATCAAAAACTCTTCAAAATTATTTTAATTCTAGAATTTAGTCTTGTTCCGTTTAATAATGTCATGTTATCAAAACTTCTATACAACTATAAATAAAACTCTCATAAATTATTATGTTTCCGGTTTACTCACGTAATTATTTGACGAGGAACTCGACTTGTTTCAAGCCATGCTAGAGGCTCAAATTCATGAGCAGCATTCGGCTACCCGCGACGCGGCGACTGTCGCGCTGCTACTGTCAGTAGTCTAGTCGAGTTCTTCGGCAAATAATTACGTGAGTAAGTCGAAAAGATAATAATTTATTTAGTATGTCTCACGAAATGACTGCCTCGTTGGCCGAGCGATTCCCGGGTCGGGCAAAGTATTACTGGGGTTTTAAAAATCTCAGTAGTAGCACGGAGTCTGAAAATGTGCCCGGTATATGACAATAGGGTCACCCCCTATTACATGGGACTCATAACATAAATAGTGAGAAGTGGGTGTTATATTGTACAGTGGCATTAAGCGCTGAAATGTGCACCTCTGCCTACCCCTTCGGGGATAAAAAGGCGTGATGTTATGTTATGTTATGTTATGTCTCACGAAAGTTATAATAAAAAACTCTCATAAATTGTGAAAATGTTTACTTACTGAAACACGTTTTTATTAAATTTAGCTATAATGTACCAGTTTTGTGGTCTTGTTAACTTCCTAAGAATTTAGGTCTTATGTCACTTAATTAAGTACTCAAGAGAAAACCAAGTTACTTTGGCAACTCGAAGCTTAGTAAATGCATTGTCGATGTTTGGCTGAAAATTAGGTTCAGCCTGAACGTTTGACCTGAATACTGTTATAGACGAGACGGAAAGGTCAGTTGCGATTGGATTAAAGTCAAATTTTAACTCGAAATGTTCACTATTATCTATTATTTGACTGTACGGTTGGTGCGGTGGCTGGGCAACCGGCTGCCGTGCAACGTGTCGCGGGTTCGATTCCCGCACGGAACAACAATTTGTGTGATCCACAAATTGGTGTTCCGGGTCTGGGTGTCATGTGTATGTGAATTTGTATGTTTGTAAACGCACCCACGACACAGGAGAAAATCCTAGCGTGGGGCAACGTTTTTTTTTTTTTAAATAAATGTAGTAAGATATCTTGTGAAACATACTAAATTAACTATAATCCCGGGCAACGTCGCGCAGCTCACTGACGTCGCCGTGACCGCGCACGCTGCTTATGAGGAAGAACCCCTCTGTGATTCGAAACTAGTAGAGCTTTTCTCAATATATTCACGTGAGTAACCCGCGATTTTAGTTAATATATCTTGTGAAATCTTGTATTTAAGGTGTAGAGTAAGAACGCCTCTGAAATGGCAACAATTCACAAAAATAAAAAAAAACAAAGTCGCTTTAGAGTTAAGTTCTCTTCTTATTTTCTTTCCCAACATAAAATATGATTACTCCACATGCCATTTCAGAAAAAAAAAACAGTCAATAAAACGAAACTTTTTCATCCATACGCTACATACTTTCTTTGAAACTTTTAATGTGAGTATGTAAATTACTTACTCATCGCTCACGTCTCAACTTTGCAATATGAGACATAAAGTTAATACTATGACGTCATCAGTAACTTTCCACCTTCACACATAATAACTCAAATTCTTAATGCTTTGCTACGAGATCGCTACGCGGCTACGATGTTACTACGGCTACGGCTACAAATGTGCTACGTTATAAAATTGCTACGCTTCCGTGAATTTTCTAATAAACCTTCTGCAACATATTGTCAGTTTATTTTTATGGTTTGAAGTAGCTCGTAGTGGGATTTTAAATTGCATTGGCATTGTGGATTCTTAATACAATTAGGTTATATTTCTAAATTCAATTTGGTTATATTTTACCCTTTTTGTGAAAAAAGAGTTTTAATTATATTAATTTGGCGCGAAATTCTCTAGAACTTTTGTACATAATTAATAATTACTTTTTTAGATATATTGTCTAACTTGACTAAACAAAGTGATTTCACTAATAGATATATCTTCAAGTTGTGCCACGATAAAATCTTATGAAACACTCAGACTCATAAAACAAACGTTTAATTATAATTAATTTGACTTATCTATACAACATTAACAAAGATACGGACGAAGAAATACGAGACCGCTACGAATATTTTATTACTTGCTGTATAAAATGCTACGAGCGCTACGGTGCTACGGCACTATGCAGCTACGAATCTTTCGTAGCTTGTAGGACACTTGACATCTGGCTTTATACAGGTTGTTGTGGAAACCGTGTAACAATTCTTAAGCATAAAAGACTATAATTGAAATTAAATCACATAAAGATAATAAATTACACATGATATTGATATAAAAGCAAATGGTGGTTATTGAGACTTCAAAATGATTTTGGATTTAATGTTTTTAAATATCGTTTTTGTAATATCTTATGGTAATGTGGGTAAACGCATAATAAATCAGTCTCGTTTAAACCGTCTTTGATTGTGCATCATATTCTACAGTGGCGACGAGTTTTATTTAAAATAGTAAAATATCAAAATGCCAATCGGGAAAATTCATATCTTTGATCTCGACGGTGGTGAAAACTGGCCAGCATATGTGCGTTTAGTGGAACAGTTTATTTTACTAAACGATATAAAAGATAACCTACGCGTGGCCACGTTGGTGACACACGTTGGAACGTCGACCTACCGGTTAATGTGCGATCTGTGTGCTCCAGACAATCCGGAAGATAAAACATTTAGCACCTTAGTGGAGCTTGTAAAAAATCACCTGGAACCCAAAAGATCCGAAATAGCCGAACGACACGTGTTCCGTCAGCGGCGGCAGGAGGAAGGTGAAAGTATTAAGGTGTTTTTACAAAACTTGAAACACTTGGCTACCCATTGTAATTTCGAAAACCAGTTGGAAGTGAACCTGCGAGATCAATTCGTGTCGGGTCTCCGTAGTGAAGAGATACGATCTCGACTATTTAC